TAAAAAAAATTCCTGGTTGCAAAGTTGAAATTAAAAAAAAAAGATGATAGATTTCAATGTATTATTATGAAATCTACCATGAAAAAAATCAGTACGATTGTGGAAGATCCTCGGGATCGTCCAGACTAATAATTAGTTAATTTGTTTATATGGCCATAACTTGTAAACTATTGAACTTACCGACTCCAGATTTCGTGTGAATTATTAGACAGTTATAAGGAATGAGAGGATGCGATTCTAAAACGTTTTGGTAATAATAACACAGTTTATAAATGTTTAATTCAAAAGTCATAAATAAACTTATTCTGTTTATAACTTTTGATCTAATCAATATTTTTTGACGCTCGAGGACTAGTTTTGTAGGTCTTTTGAAGAGGAAAAAGAAATTACTTTACTGTTTTCTCGTGGAAATGAACGGAAAAAAGTTATAAGCGAAAAACGTGAAATAACGTAAAAATTATACAATTAACCACTCTGTAAACAATATTCACCCCATTTTTATGACTGTGGAAACTAATATGTTACCTGTTGTACATAATATTTAGCATCAGTGACAAAAAGGCTTGCCGAAACAAAAAGTCGCGCCCAACTCTATATTTCCCGGACTATTAAATACAGCAGATAGATATCTGTTTCAATTAATCAGTTTCTCAAATTCAGTACCAAAACAACAATTTTAATACATTTATAACTGTTAAACTTCACTCAAACAACATGTTAATAATAGCGAGGTCACAGCCTTCAGGCATCGCTGTCTCATTAAATTGTTACGTTTTTTAGGATGGTCGCCCCTTTTTGTAGTAACGTTGCTCGGCGAATTATGCATGTATTCTAATTTTAGGCGTCAAGTTAAAACTGAAGGGAGAAGAGGAAAATCAATGGACAGAGACGGAAAGTTACTACAACCAAGATAAAAAGGAGCATGAAACGAGGACTGTTCACTATCGTGGCCACAACACGTTTTTGCACGTTGAAAATACTCTACAAGGCGGAGGTAAACAGAGATTTTTTTCCCGGGTGGGAAATACCCATAAGTGTGCTTTTCTACAGAGTGTAAGATGATTTAGATCAACTTACCTGTAAAAGTCAATGCCAGTACTAAAGTACTGTTCAGCTAGAGTCTATTTATTTTGTAACAGTGCGGATTTACAAGTATACATTCGTGCATAGATAAAACGAGAGAAGTAATACAAATAAAATAATGAAATACAGGGTGTTCTACAAGCTCTAGGACAAACATTGACAGATGGGACATTTTTTCTTATACAGGGATGGCCAAAAGTACGGAATAAAATTCATATCTTTTGAATGAGTTAATTTTTTTTAAAACGCCGAAACACGTTAATTGATTTTTCCCATCTTTCAGTTATATAATAATTAATTTTTCTTCAACCCCCTAACCCCCAGATACCTCTACCTTTTTTTTTCAAATGGAAACATAAGGCATGAGAGGGCTCGTTGAAAAGCTTATAGAAAACCGAATCCAGCCATACCAAAAAACAAGTTTTATTTTTTCAATAGCAAGGTTTTTAGGGTTGTATAAAACACCTACTTAACAAGTGAAATAAAATTTAATTATCTTCAGTGTTATCCTCCATGAATTTGCACAGAATNTCTGGGAGCTTTCAACGAAAACGCTGCCTAAACCCTTTGAGATATAACAAAATAATGTATGGTGGAATTGTGTATCTTATATAGGTCTACAGAAAAGTTTGCGATGCCATATGTCTATCTCTTAAGGATAACATACTATACCAACCCATTTTAATACTTTAAAAAATGGGCAATTATAAAGCGGTAATTGGAAAGCTATTTACACAAATACGGTATTCATCTTTATCATTTTAAATACGTCAGTTGGCTTGAGCATTTCACGAAGATTATTTTTTCTCTTTACACCATGCAAATTAAATGAATACCTTAGGAGATATAGTAAAATCAAAATAATGCGCTACGAAATTAATGTTGTGTCGCCGTGATTCGATCGGGCCGCGCGGGCGCCCCATGACCCCGCGCCTCGCGTCCGAGTTGGAGGGGTCCGAAAGTTTATGTAGTGTATCAATGTATGGTGGAATTGTGTATCTATTATATGCCTACAGAAAAGTCCGCGATGGCATATGTATATGTTAAAGATAACATACTACATATATCCATTTTAATACTTTAAAAAATTGGCAATTATAAAGCGGTAATGTAAAAGCTATTTACACAAATACGGTATTAATCCTTATCATTTTAAATATGTTAGAGGCTTTAAGCATTTCATGCACATTATTTTACTCTTCTACACCATATAATTTAAATGAATATCTTAGGAGTAATCGCAAAAAAATTACGGACGCGAGAATAAAATTCAAGCGCCTCGCTTCGCTTGATGCGATCNCCTGCTCTAGCTGTGATTTTCCCTCATGAAATTGATCCAGATATACCGAATGAAAGAATTTGGTTCCAACAAGATGGCGCTCCCCCACATTTTGGTATTGATGTTCGAAGATACTTAGATGAAATGTTTCCAAATCGCTGGATTGGTAGACGGGGTACAGTTGAATGGCCGCCAAGATCCCCCGACTTAACACCCCTGGATTATTTTCTTTGGGGATATTTGAAAGAAAGAGTCTACCAGGACAGACCGGATAATATTGAGAATTTAAAGAACAAGATTAGGGCGGAGATGCATAATTTACCAGCTGAAGTCATACAGAATCTAGTTGTTTCAATTTGTAAATGAAAAAAAACTTGTTATTGAAAAAATAAAACTTGTTTATTTGGTATGGCTGGATTCGGTTTTCTATAAGCTTTTCAACGAGCCAACGAAAAAAAGTAGTGATAGCTGGGGGTTAGGGGGTTGAAGAAAAATTAATTATTATATAACCGAAAGATGGGAAAAAATCAAAATCAGTTAATGTGTTTCCGCGTTTAAAAAAAAATTAACTCATTCAAAAAATATGAATTTTATTCCGTACTTTTGGCCATCCCTGTATGAACATAGGTTCGATTCGTTTTTGTTTTGAGGTTATAAACATTGAAATTTTATATAATTTCATATTTCAATCAAAGATAAATACAAATGGTGGTTACTATAACAGTAGTGAAAACTAGACAATGTTGAGTCATTGCAAATGTCGACTTCTTCATTTAATAACCATAAAAACATTTTGACAATGAACAGTCCTCACTATCGTAATCCAGAAACGGCCGACATTGTATAATTGCAATAAACTACCTCATCATCTTTACTTCAAAAATACAATAAAACACTTTTTTCATAATTTTAGGAGACTTGGGTCCTGGCAGGTTCGAGTACCCTTTCACCTTCCAACTACCAACTAACATCCCCAGCACCTATCAAGGACGTTATGGAGGGGTCACCTTCTCCCTTGACGCTAAAGTCGACAGGCCCTTCAAAGTGGACTACACTGATACGAAACAGATCGTCGTTGTTTCTCCTATAAACTTCAACTTGATGAAGGACAAACTCCAGTTGGTAAGTAGGCCAAGTTGTAACTTGGTAACTTGTAGCAGATCAGACTCAAAATATTACACGGAAAAACCTTTTGTTTCTCGAGAACGTTGAACACTATGAACGAACCTACGAACTACAAAATGAAATCGCAGAGGAAAATGGTCGGTATACAATCGCGGTGCTGTAGCAGCGTTTTGGTGACACTCCCCTTACGATTTCCATTTAAAAACATATAACTTTGGGTCATAACTCTGGAATCTTAAGACCTACTAAAAATCTAATACCGGTATTCAATTCTACGCCAAAGAATTAGTCTTGAGCAGTTTTCTCTTTAACTTTACGTTATTTAACAGCTGAGATACAGACATATTCAAAAGTGTAACAATAACAGCGAAACGCCCTCTGTAACTCAGAAACAAATGAAGATAGCAAATTTCTGATTTGACAATTGAGTTTGCCATGAAAATTGGGCTCGAGAACGTGGTGTCAGATGTATCATATCTTTAATAGTTTCTGAAATACCCTGAACCCCACCGAAAATGAACCAGTCTGTACATTATTTGCAAAAGGAAATGGAATGTCAAGGGAAAAAACCCATTTTCATTGTTTTTAAGTTCGAAGGCATTGGTATTCTCTTATCGAAGAGAGCCATGGAGGATTCTTTATTTTCATGAAAATTATGTGGATTTGAAGACGTGATTCATGATGATCCAGGTCAATCAACCCCGAATTGGCTAAGTTGAAAAATTGGGTACATGGGTACTACATGTTTTGAACGAAAACGATAAAAACTGGACAACATTGCTGCTTCTTTGCAACATCGACCTAGATTGCTGCTGGTGTTGAAAAATGGTGCCTTTACGTCAACACCATGAACAGAAAATAATTGCTTAGTCCTAATAGAAAAGCAACTCCCCAAGCAGAAGCCATTGTTGTGCATCTGGTGGGACGAAGAAGGAGTCGTCTATTACATCTAACAACTTTTGAGGACACTCTTTTATTGACAACATCGTTCCTCGAAACCGGCTTGGTGAATTCTTCGCTTCCGAAGTATCAGATGCCTTCAGGCACGTAACAGAAAAACTATCAGATCGAAGGCAATCGTAAATAATTTAGGGGATTATATGAAGGGACTTCGTATATGTATTTTGTTTATTTTCAGGAACCAGTTGACTATTCCGAAGACAAGACCCTGTGTTGCTGGTGTTGTGCCAGTGGTCCCATAACCATGGAAGTCCATCTGGATAAAGAAGCGTTTGTGGTGGGGGAAGTGGTTAATGTCAGGTTGGACATAACCAATATGTCCAACGAAAGTATCGAGAGCATTAGTGCTCAGTTGGGTATGGTAAGTTAATTTCTTATTAAGTATATGCTGAAAGACGCATTCTACATCACAAATTACAAAAAGGTTCATCCCCAGTATTATCAGGTTGCGATATTGTGACTATAGTCAAAACCTACAATTCACTTTTTCTCAGAATCGTCTGCCTTGAACGAATCTTCTATCTCCTCTCTCGCTCCTTGCTGTCGACTAGGCTAGCCTCACTATCCCAACTTTATCGGGCGTTATCGTTCATAGTCGAACTCTTAACTAAGTTTTACCGAATACAATTTACCGAACTTATTAACCAATTAAATGATTGATGAATTAGAATGTTAACTCTAACTAATCGTTGTGGACTTACAATTTATTTTGTGATTGGTGTTTTAGTGAATAAAGCGAGCTCGTTACACAGTACACAATATGTTTTAATTACGTAATTTCTTGTTTCTTTCAGAACGTTAAATGCAGGGTAACGTCTCCAAGTAGTGACAGCAAGTCGGACTTCGAGCTGCTGGCGACCGACAATGACACGGGCGTAGGAGCGCACGGGCAAAGAACTTACAATTTAACTTTGGAGATTCCAGAGTCGGCGCAGGTGCCCAATTTTAACTTGTGTGAACTCTTTCGGCAGGAGACTACATTAAAGGTGAGGATAAAGGGCAAACTACAGGGTGTTTCAGGATTATATGCAAAAATCTTAAGTACGAATTGGGAATCGGAAAATAAGAAAAAAAGTTCCTATAGACGTATGTCCGGAAATGATTCGTTAAGGAGTTACGGCCCTTTAAAAATGGCGGTTAAAATCGAGTTTTAATTTTTTTTTTTTAAATTTGAAAACAGATAAAATCCTGAATTTTGGTACAGATGTTATACTAATCGAGGCCCGCCATTTTTAAACGACCGTAACTCCTTAACGAATCGTTTCCGGACACGTCCGTAGGAACTTTTTTTCTTATTTTCCGATTCCTAATTCGTATTTAAAAATTTTGCATATAATCCTGAAACACCCTGTGCTTTGCAAAATTCAAGATGGCGGATCCAAGATGGCAGACCAAATTTTCAAAAAATAACACATTCGCGCCAAACTTGGTATTCGGGGGTTTTCGGGTCACTGATCACGAATCTGAGATCAGATTTATAACCATCTTGAATTTTGTAAAATTGGATCGTGATCAGCGACCCCGAAAACCCCCGTATACCAAAGTTGGCGCGAATGTCATTTTTTGAAAATTTGTTCGGCCATCTTGAATCCGCCATCTTGAATTTTGCAAAATTGACCTCGGATCCGTGATCAGCGATCCTGAAAACTCCTGTATAACAAATTTAGCGGGAATGGGTTATTTTTTTAAAATTTGTTTGGCCATCTTGGATCCGCCATCTTGAATTTTGCAAAATTGACCTCCGATCCGTGATTAGCGACCCCAAAAACCCCCGTATACCAAATTTAGCGCGAATGGGTTATTTTTTAAAAATTTGGTCGGCCATCTTGGATCCGCTACCTTGAATTTTGCAAAATTCACCTAGGATCCGTGATCAGCGATCCTGAAAACTCCTGTATAACAAATTTAGCGGGAATGGGTTATTTTTTTAAAATTTGGTTGGCCATCTTGGATCCGCCATCTTGAATTTTGCAAAATTGACCTCGGATCCGTGATCAGCGACCCCAAAAACCCCCGTATACCAAATTTAGCGCGAATGGGTTATTTTTTAAAAATTTGGTCGGCCATCTTGGATCCGCCATCTTGAATTTTGCAAAATTGACCTCGGATCCGTGATCAGCGATCCAGAAAACCCCCGTATACCAAATTTGNCTAATAGCTGAAATATTATTTAGCATCAGTATATCAACCACATTATTCCTGTTGTTAAATGCTACTATGGTGGTCTAGAGGTAACGGGCTCGCTTTGGAATCCAAAGGTTCGGGGTTCGAATCTCAGACAGAGCAAGACTTTTTTAATTTAAATAAAATTCGAAACCAACTTTAAATTTACCATCAATTGCAGTCCACCTCTCTTCCTTCACTCCGATCTCTATTACACATGCGTTTAAATCTAGAAATTTGAATTTACCGCCAATTTTATTGCCGCACTCTGATTGATCAAACAACCTATCGTTACTCGATTTTAAATTTACCGCCAATTTGCCGCGATCTGATTGGTCGAGAGACGTGGCCAATTTGAATGCTACGCTCTGATTGGTCGATGGGCGTGGCCTAAAAGTGGAGGAGAGGGGGTAAAATTCGTCAAAAATGAGCAGGATGAATCTTCATAAGAAAATACATGGGATTTTGGCGTTGAACTCACATAGCTTATCTACTTTTGTTATTTTTTTAAAATTCGTGACATCTGACCTTAATTGACCCGTTTTTTAAGGTTAGAAGAAGAACCATTCTGACTGCGGATTCACGTTCTGCGGGTCTTAACTATATAAATGAACATTTGAATATAGAAAAAAAAATTTTTGTAGTTTCCTAGCACTTTTTCTTGAATTTTTGCTATTTTTGACCTGTTTTTTGAGGTTAGGAAATTCCTGTGATGTGATATCTCAATTCTGACACCGGATTCGTGATCAGGAAGCAAAAATACTACGGATAACATATGTCGTATGAAAAGTACAGACAACTTTTTTTGTGTGTGGCGTGTTATCTGTGGGCGGGCCTAATAATAATAATCACCGGAAAACTTATTCCTGCTGACCTGTAATGAATGAGTATGAATTTCCCGCGCAATAATGTTCCTTGTAATTTTAGATAACTGCAGTGATAGAGGGTTGTCACAATGACATGGATTTCGACACGGAGATCACTATGGGCCACATTCCAGTTCATGATCCTTCATCGCCAGGTCTGTTAAATTATTCAAATCCACTTCATTTGCGACTGAATTTTACATTACTGCTTGTTTTTTATTTTCTAGCAGAGCAGTACCCACCAAGCGCTTACCAACCTAACATGTATCCTCCTAATACGTACCCACCTAATACGTATCCACCCAATCCAGTGATGCCTCCGTACCCGCCCGCCCAAGGCAAAATGCCCGGTCCAATGGGCTTCGTCGTGCCGCAAGGGGCGGATTCTGGTCCCAGCGCTCCTCCTTCGGACGGCGGGGCTTCGGCTCCTTCTAAAAGGGAGATAGCAGAACAGGAATTCGTTGTGGTGGGGACAGGTGAGGTAGCCATATGTATATAAAAGATGCGTTCGGTATTTACTCTTTTTCGTCTTGTGTCGACCAGTTTTGTTTCAGCAGCAGTTGCGGACTGATTTGAAACTATGAGATATACTTGGGAAATTATTTCGTGACTTAGACTCCCTGAAAGTACGTGACAACTTAAGTGGCCGACAATAACTCATATTTTGAAAATAGTTTTAGACTGCTGCAGAAGCAAACCTATTGCCCCTTGAGATGACTTTTATGGTTCTGACTTGATGAGGTTGTGTTGGTTGGTCATTCATTTAAATGATGTTTCCTAAAAGATAGAGTAGAGGATAATACCGAACTAAATAACTACTTTCAAAATTTTAATTCCAATGCAAATATATGTTTGAATTTTTCCGTATCAATTCGTTTCTTCATTTGTGCATTTACCTCAGAAGTTAATTTTTTTTTCAGACAATCCTCAGTTCAACGAATTACGTAAGTATTTTTTTATTGTTAAGTTACGATTAGAAAATAGTTATTTACACAAATATATAAAGTAAAGAAGGTGCATTTCTACAAGTTTCATACAATACGGATCAAAATTATGTATACGGGTTTTCAAAAAGTTTGGAACCCCCCCCCTCTATCTCAAAAAATACTGCTCGAACAAAAAAATGATTAGGACAAAAGTTGCAGGGTTTTGAGTGAGCAATCCAACGGTGACCTTGACCATGACCTTGAAGGTCATTTAGAGGTCAAGTTGAAAATTTTAAATGGAACCGTATAATTTTTACCCCGGCAATGGAAAAAATGGAAATTTATAAGTTCGGATATGACCTTGACCATGACCTTCAAGGTCGTTTACAGGTCAAATCGATTTTTAGTATATGACCCGATATTCCTCGCTCTTTTCATTTCCGGGATCAAAAGTATACGGTTCCATTTAAAATTTTCAACCTGACCTCTAAATAACCTTGAAGGTCATGGTCAAGTTCATATTCGAAAGTAAAAAATTTCCATTTTTCCCATTTCCGGGGCCAAAAGTATACGGTTCCATTTAAAATTATTTTCAACTTGACCTCTAAATGACCTTCAAAGTCAAGGTCAAGGTCACCTTGGGATTGCTCACTCAAAACCTTGCAACTTTTGTTCTAATCATTTTTTGTCTGAGCAGTATTTTCTGATATAGAGGGGGGTTCCAAACTTTTTGAAAACCCTGTATAAAGGGAGAGGGTCAGTTAGGCCGGTTTTCGGCCCCGTTCATTTTTGGCCAACTTTTTTTATTATCCAATTACTAATCGATTTCACCCAAACGGGACCTCCCCCCTCCTTCCTAGTCAGGATCAGGGTCAATTAGAGGTCAGATTGGTCAGAAAACGTGCATTAAATTAAAGGATCTCGGAGTTAAGGTTTTTTGGGTTGCCGAGTCCGAAACGAAGGATAGTTTGTCTGTACCAGGCCATTTTAAGGTTTCAAGGTTATTTCAAGGTCAAATTGAGAAAAATCCGACTAATTAAATGCCATCACCTGTTATATAGGTTTTTGGGATAGCTGAGTTCGAATCTGAGGTCAGTTTATCTGCATCAGGGCATCTGAGGGTTATTTCAAGGCCATTTAAAGGTCAAAAGACCTGACACAGATAAACTGACCGCAGATTTGAACTCAGCGATCCCAAAATCCTATATATCCTATATAATGTGGTCCGACTTGATTGCTCGGCTTTTCTCAATTTTACCTTGAAATGACCTTGAAACAACCTTAAAATGTCCAAACTAACCTCTGATTCTGACTCAACGACCCAAAAAACCTAAACTCCGATATCCTTCGATTTAAATGCACTTTTTCTCAATTTGACTTGACAATTGACCTTGATCCTGACTAGGAAGCAGGAGGAGGTACCGTTTGGGGTGGAATAGATTAGTTATTGGAGATAAATAATAAAAAAATTGTTCTTTTTTTAGGCCTAAAATAAAGGCTTAATTGATCCTCCCCCCTTTATTTTTAATGTATGTGGAAACGAATATAATGTACCTGTTACACTTTTACTTTACGTCAAAATGTTAATAAAATACTTAATTTTTTCAGCGCCACCTTCTTACAATGAAGCCGTGACATACCCCATAAAACAGTGAAGGGAGTTGGAAACGTGCCATAAATGCATACAGAAGAATTTTAAAGTACGTAAAATGAAAGAAAACTTGCGTCAAGGTCAATTTGTAGACGGACGGTTCCAACAGGTCAAAATAGGTCTCGACAGCACGCCGCTGTCTTACGCTTTTTATAACTATAATTGGTCTTTATCTGCGTATCGATTTTCTTTCATTTCCTGTACTGTAAGTTATTCCCCTACAAATTTCAATTGAGCTTGGGTAAAGCCCAGCAAATACAAAATAATAGGCTAGCGGGTAAAACTCAATTGACATTGGTACTTGTGACTATAGTTTTCTGTTTAGATTGCGATGTTGCCTTACCTCCTCATTTATTGTTTGTACTGTTATACAGTGTGACCTAAAAACACTCGAACACCCCCACCCCGATAACTTTTCAGTATAGGGTTCTACCAGAAACAAATTCAGATTTTCAGGATATCAAGAAACCAATATGGTGGGGATTTTGGATTTGACCTTCACTCTAAGTATCAAGGTCAAACCAAGATCTATAAAAAGGATTGTTTTCAACTCAGGTATAGATCAGTCATAAATATTCAGCCTTACCACATTTTTACATCAATGTTTGATTGCCATGAGGTAATGTATGTAAGACGCACATAATACATATATTCTTATAATTTTGTGTGTAATTTGCTATATTTAGATAAAGACATGCATATTGTATTCAAGCATATTTGCTTGCTGAACTATGATCAGCTGCCATATTTTTAAGTGATGTAAATAAAAAATGTATATTTTTGGTTCATTTTATACACTGTGGATTTATATTTTGTACGTTTTTGAGTGTGGAAGTAAATAAAGCTTACGTTTTATAATTATTAGAATAGTTCATTTGCTTACAAGATTTTTCCATTATATTTTGAAATAGGTATGAAAAAAGTGCAAGGATAAACACTGTAGGAATCTTGGTGAATTATAATATCTGTGTTGCAAAAACAATTGGACTTCGTATTGCAACTTTAAGTCGGGGTCAGTTTTTACGGGTAACAGTACCTGTACGTGTTCCCTAGGATAAGAATCTGAATTTTATTTAATCAAATAAATAGTCGAGTTATAATTAGTTTTTTAAATTGGATTTTAATTCTTGTGTACGTCGCGAATGGGAGATTAGCATGATAAGTTGTATCTGTGCACTATCAGCTCTGCCAATTATTACCTTTTTAAATCAATTGTTAGTGAGCGATGATGGAAAATAATTTAGCATATAAGCATATTGCTCAGCGACGTGTTATTTTAAAGTCATCATATATTTTTGATATCAATATGGACGAAATCATTCTATTGTTAAAAAAAACAATCTATTTACATGATTTATTAAATATTAACTAGTATTGATATATAGATACATTATTAATAGGGCTGTCAGAACTGAGCCACGGGACATAGGCGTACGGGTTATTTATTATGTCTACTGAATTGTCTACAATGCACCACCCTAAACACCAACGGATAGAAATATAATAGTATCCGTACGATAACAAAATAACAGTATACTAACATAACGTGAACGTAAAAAGCATTCTGAGGTGGCGCCTCATGCATGTGTCGGTTGACCCTTTTGGCACGCCATTGAATTGCGGCTCTCTCTAACAGCCATACCTACTAATTTAGTCCAGTCGGTATCTGTTTTAAAAGTAGGTTGTATACATGTGTCATATAGTAGCAGTTGAAAATAGTTCTAAATATTAGCTAAAATGATAATTGTGATGTACGCCCGCTGAAAAAGTTGTGCATAATTATTGTTAGCGCAAGAAAATGTAAAAAAAATTAAAAAGGCGCATTTTTCTCCTTTCTTTTATGTATAACTCGGAGAATATTGACATTAGCGAAAATAGTCAAAGGAAAACAAGTTTCGTTTTGAGATTCTCTTCAAACTAAAAGCGGCCCGAAATTTTTATGAGCATTATTGTCGCTGCAATACAGCGACCCAAAAAATTTTCGTGAAAAAAGATGTTTTTTTTTTTTCATGAATTTATTCCGGACTTTGACTTTAGAGCAGCCATATAAAAAAATGGTTCCGTTTTTTCGATCATTGTCGTATTTTATAAAGGAGTGAAACAGTCGACCCCATTGCAATATTTATTATTTAAAAATATTTGTTGGGAAGACTGATTTATTGAGCAACTTTTTTACCTCTTGTAATTTTTCGATAAAACCGATAGTTTTCTAGTAAAAAAAAGCTTTGGAAAATAATAACGTCAATATTTCTCAAAAGTATTACATATACATGCACATATTTCTTAATAATTTACCGGTGTCAATTTACGTTACAGACTAACTGAGGGCTTGTGACTTTATACTGGTGAAATAAACTAGGTGTTCTGTTTGGGACATCACTATCTGATAAGTTATCAGCTACAAGGTACTTGAGTTGTCGAAAAGTACCGCGAAAAGTAAATGCAGTCTTGATCTACAATAGGTAATAATCCGTTAGGTACATTTTTAGTTATAATTAACGTTATATTGCGGCAGATTGTTAATTTTGTGGAACTTCCCGATGCACTGGCAATAGAAACAGTGTACTTAACGATGTAAACAGGTAAATATAATCACCACATATTTCATTTAAATCAGTTCTGTGTTCTTGAACTGATGTTCATTTATCTGAAAGTTAGAATCGGGAATAATACATCTTTAGGCACCGTACTGTATATACGTACGTAAGTGAATTTAAAAAGGTGTAATTACAGTGCGACTAAGCCATAAAATGTGTAATTTCATTTAAAAAAATTGTGTATACACTGTGGACTAATTTGGTGATATAAAAAAGGTTAAACGGGGTAAGTTTTAGACAGTTCTATTGATAATTTAGTATAGCTTGCAGACCGCTCCTAGCTCTTCAGGTTTTTGAGTTATTTTGAAAAATAGTAAACGTGGCGTTTTCGAAAATCGTCTACAACTTTTTTATTTAGAGGAATTTGAAAAAAAAACTGAAAACATTTTTTCACAGCAAGTTTTTTCTAGGAATTTCACTGTATATTTAGATTTTCATTGCGACGTTTCGGTTGCGAGAAACCATCATCAAATTTCGTTTTTCTTATGGGTGCTATACAGGGTGTCTCAGTGTCAGCGTACAAAAATTTACCAGGGGGTCGACCAGACCAAAATAAGATTAAAATTCTTATAAAATATTTTTCTGCCTGCGCTCTCACTGAGTTACAGGGTGTTGTTTAGAAAAAAATAATAACATTCTGCAATAACTCAAAAACCCTTTCAGGGATTTAAGTAATTTTTGCGTCTATTAAAGGTCATTAAAACTACATGGTGCTTATTTCGATCTGACGCCAGGCGTGGCCTAGGCCAACTTGTCCTCGAGGTTATGTCTTCATAACTTTTACATATCCTAGTTTTATGTAATTTGATTAAGTTTTCCTGAATCTGCAATCGATTCTGAACAAAAAATGTGCTCTTGTTTCATAGCGCAAAAATAAACCGTTTTCGAGTAAACTGGGTTTAAAACATCACCTGCATCAATTCGCAGAAAAATTTATGTTATCTAGTAGGTACCTGTCATTATAAAAAACAAAGTTGTTTACAAGCATACATGTTAGAATTAATTATGGTACTCAAAGTTACGAGATATTAAGTTTACAAAACAACAAGATGTTAAGTATTATCAAATTTTCCAACAACGAATATGCCATTATGATATTTGTCTACGGTTTCTGTCATGGAAATTCATTGGTGGCCTCACGGTAGTATCTACGCAGGTTTCCAAACAGAAGGCAACCCTCACAGCACGTATTCCAACGAGTTTTCCAAAGAGTCGGTGAGACAGGGAGTGTTAAAATTGGAAATACCAGAATAAGAGGTAGGTAATTTGGAAGATGCAAGCATTTTAGAAGAAAATGTAATAGGTAGCTGCTGTTGTTGATGATCCTTCCACCAGTGTCCGAAGAATATCAACGCAAGTAGGTGTTCTACGAAGCAGCGTCTGGAGAATTTTAAACCGAGAAGAACCGTACCCATACCACCTACATAAAGTACAAACTTTGCATCCTGATGATTCCGAAAAAAGGATACAATTTTGCAGGTGGTTGTTAGAAAATATCGATAATGACGAAAATTTCCATCGAAGGATATTGTGGAGTGATGAAACTATCTTTACGAGAAATGTTATAAATAATTTAAAAATTTTCATGGTTGATCCATTAAAAATCCGCATGTGATATGACCCTCCACGTTTTAAAGAAATGTCTGGGGAGGAATCTTCAACGGAGTCATTACGCCTCCTCAAATTATTGTAGACCGTTTGAATTCAGAGAGATACAGGGATTTTTTAGAAAATATTGTTGATGGCGTACTAGATGACGTTCCCATAGCTTTGCTAAGTCAAATGTATACCAACAAGATGAAGCACCTACTCTTAACGGAAGACAGATATCTGCGTGGCTCGATTTACATTTTCCAGAACGCTGGATTGGGAGAAATGGACCTATTATGTGGCCTCTCAGGTTCCCTGACCTCAACCCGCTTGATTTTTTTCCGTTGATTTACGAAAGGTTTACAATTCCTTTGTAAGTAAATGGACAGCATTTCGAGCATAATATATTAAAATAATTGTTTTCTATTTTTATTTTTAATATTGTCATTTTGCTAACATAATTTAGTTGTTGTTACATAATTTTCAATTTTATTTTTAGTTCCCATATACGTAACCAAATATTAAATAATTCATAGAAAACTTGTTTAGTTTTTTCATATTCATTGAGCCGCAGCTACATGGAAAACTGTACCTTAACGGTAAACAACTTTGTTATTTATAATGACAGGTACCTACTAGATAACAAGAAATAAAATCTTTGCATGCATTTTTCTACGAACTAATGCAGTCGATACTTTAGACCTAATTTACTCGAAAACGGTTCATTTTTGAACTATGGAACAACAGCCCAATTTTTGTTCAGAATCGATTGCAGATTCAGGAAAACGTAATCAAATTACATAAAACTAGGATATGCAAAAGTTATGAAGACATAACCTTGAGGACAAGTTGGCCTAGGCCGCCCCTGTCATCAAATCGAAATAAACACCATGTCGTTTTGATGACCTTTAATAGGTGTACACTTTACCCAAAAATTACTTAAATCCTTGAAAGGGTTTTTGAGTTATTGCGGAAAGTTGTTATTATTCTTTTCTAAACAACACCCTGTAACTCAGTGAGAGTGCATCGCAGAAAAATATTTTATAAGAATTTTTGGAATGTTTATTTCTCTATCACATACTCTTGTTGACGATGTTTGATTGTTGTTGAAATAATCTATTATTTGATTGTCCCTGTTATTTATTGTCTTTTGCATAATTCTTAGCATGTGGCTTTTCAAAACTTCCAAATATTCTCAATTTTGTCATAAGTTTAAAAAAATACCGTTTATTTGGTGGTTATCTTTCGGGATTATTTCCAATATAATTATTTATTATTATTTGAATTTCTATTATTTTTAATGTAGCACTGTAACATTATAGTCTAAGATCCAGATAGGGTTCCGTGTCCAACAGAGTGCCACGGCTGCAGACCACTTATTCTGAAGTATTTTGACATCCTGAATCCAAAAACCTTGGTCGCAAAACATGAAAATGGTCAGTTTAATTGTTATTAACAAATTAAATGTTTAAATGGCCGTAAAAATTTATTTTTATAGCTAGTACAATTTTTTATGCGTTAATAGTTACGTTTGCCCATAACCAATATATATTTTTTTGAAAATTAAAAAAGATTAACATTAACCAAAGTTATTGCAAATTTAGTGCAAATATCTTACATTTTCCGTCTCCGCGCGCACTAATTCTACCATATCTCTGGTTCTAGTGGACGGATTGAGACGCACGACATCTCATTTTAAAGCTTGAACTTTATTTTACAAGATAGGTAAGTTTCATCTATTAATTAATTTATTTAACAATTAATGGCAGCTTAGAAAGTTGTAAAATTTCAACAAAAATGCTGGTTTTATTTGTTTATAAGGCTTTTTTATTATTCAACTTTGATGAAAAGCCAAAAAAGTTACCGGACACTGTTCCTCGCATCCTAACAATCATTTCATGCCTTATAGGTATTAGTTTTTCTTTATCAAGTGTCAGTCTAACTATTAACAATTAACTTTATGATTAACAATAGTTCAAATGACAGGCAGTTTGAAACAAATGAAAATATTATTATCGTCATGGAGATTCATATCCTACTAATGGGGCTTTTCTTCGTAAACACGTGGCCATTATTATCACTTTTTTACTCAACGCCATGACATTCATAAAAAGCTTTTACAAAAATATGGACTGTTCTATAATAATTTCGAAAAATTATGCGCTGTTGACAGATTTATTAAAAATATTGGAATATGGGTTTTTGAGGTTGTATTTGGAATTTTTTCTTACTCATATTACATAATTGAAACGCCAAAAAAATGTTCTATTTGCTCAGTTTAAAATTCAATATGGCGACCGTAAGAAAAACGAAAGTTGATGATGGTTTCTCGCAACCGAAACCTCGCAATGAAAATCTAAATATCCAGTGAAATTTCTCGAAAAAACTTGCTATGAAAAAGTGTTATCAGATTTTAAAAATTCCTCAAAATAAAAACGTTACAGACGATTTTCGAAAGGGCCACATACATTTACTTTTAGAGTTAGAACCGGTCCGCAAGTTCCATTAAGTTAGCAACAGAACTGTCTAAAACTTTCCCCATTTAAACATTTTCCTATCTCTTATAGTTTCCAAGATACCAAAACATGCATCACGAAAATGATCCACACTGTAAGTTGAATGGTATTTGCGACAATAAAAAAAATGAAAAGATAAATAAAAATGACACAATGTCTTATATTCTCTGTTGGTAAAACACATTATGGCTATTGTAGTAAGTAGTATTATTTTTTTGTTCAGAAGCTAATAATCTGTCGTGTTTCAGCTTGGTAGGTCAGAACTACAACATCCAGTATACTCCCAAGTCCTATTTAAACCACAAGACATTTAACACTCTGTTGCATTTTGTGACGCGGTGTTGTGCAATAGGTACGTAATTATCTCTGATTAGATAAGTATTTATTTATAAAAATTCTCGATAACTTTGATTGATCACTAAGATAAACTATTCTGAAAAATTGGATAATGATAACCTCCATCTTTATTAAGTAACTGTGCTCGCTGTTATACCTCTGCAGTATATCATACAGTATATTTCAAAACAGACATCATCGCAGGTAATATATAAATATTATCATTATCAGACATGCTTGACGTGTATTAAAATTTGTAAACAATGTTTACCGACTTATTTTTTAGTTACATATTTTATTTTGAGGTATATTTTTGAAATGATTCACGTTCACAATTTTATTGTGGGGTTAATTTTCAAAAAACGGTTAAATTGATTGACTGCGATGCATAACTATTTTGTTTTTAAGGCAAGTTTTGACGTAAGGGCTTGGTAAAGTTACTCTAACCCTCTCTTATGTCACTTTACCCAGCTCTCTCTTCAGCAACAACGCACGTGGATGTGAGGGGGCAAGCAATTTTTTTCAGGATTATCTTCAGTACAATTCACATAATAAAAGTGTAGATCTGGGCGAGGTCCGGAACATTTTCAAAATTGCAAAAATGTTTAAAAAACTAAAAAAGTACCTATTTTATCTGAGTTTTTTTACTTATATCTTGGAACCTTATGCATTTGTGAAGAATATTGAAGACGAAAAAAAGTTTTAGAATTGAATTTTGCACAATATCCTGTAAGTTAAAAATGTTTAAATTTATTACCGATGTTGCAAAATAGCAATAATTGATGAAAAAAAGGCAAAATAATNTGATAAAAAAAAGGCAAAATTATTAAGTTTTTTGGATAATTTTTTAAAAATATTTTAATTGCCCCGAGTGCGTTTTAATTTTGGTAAAAAAGACTTTGGAGTATAATAAAACAACATACCAAATTTCATTAAAATCGGTTCTATAGTTTTCCCAAAATAATTTTTTGAAAAAAATTTTTAAAGAATTATATTGTTATGTTATATTTTCCTGCGTTGCGAGCAAAAGAATGGGTATTTGAAGTTTCAATTCGATATTTTGATACTAGACTTAAAGGTTTCTGGAAAATAGCTTACAAAATGACTTACTACATTGATTTACAGATTTAGCCGGCGTTAGAAAATGTCATCCTGTCTGATACAGTTGGATAATTTCCAAGGCCTATACTGCGCAGGAAATGTCATAGCAGGGAGGGTGATCTGTTCATTCAATAAAACCAAATCCATAGGAGGTAAATATTTTGAAAAGGAACATTGTTTTCATATATTTTATTCCTTCTGTTATATCTTTTCTATTCTTGCTCATATCTCATATCTTATATCTTTTATCTTATATCCCATGTCTTATATCCCATGTCTTATATCCTATATCCTATATCCTATATCCTATATCTTTTATCCTATACCCTATATCCTATATCCTATATCCCATATCTTATATCCTATATCTTATATCTTATATCCTATATCCTATATCCTATATCCTATATCCTATATCCTATATCCTATATCCTATATCCCATATCCTATATCCCATATCCTATATCCTATATCCCATATCCCATATCATATATCCTATATCCTATATCCCATATCCCATATCCTATTTCCCATATCCTATACCCTATATCCTACATCTTCTATTATTATTATTTCCTGTATCATCTATACTATACAAGTATTCTATACTTCCTATTTGGAATACACCGAGCTGGAAAACGTTCAAAATAAAGACGCACAGCTAACATAGTATTCCCCTTGGCAAGGCTGTAAATAAAATGCATATCTGCTAATTCTGGAAATGAGTATTCCATTTCTAACAGATCTAAACCAAAGTACAACCGCTTAAGGAAAGCTAGATGTCATGACTGACAATGATGTTTTGTCTGAAAACATCTGAAAACAAATTTTGGTGGCTTGGTCAAAGCATACTTATAATGTTTTTATTTTCATTTTCCTATGTTAGCAATAGGAAAAAATGGTATTTACAAAACGTTTATTTACGGAAAAGTGACAAGAGCTAGGAATAAAACGCAAGAGGGTAATTTTGTTTAAAATAAAATGTAGATTACACAAAAATATTAAAAAAATGTTTTTACCAGTGGCGTACCACAATTTTCTTCGAAAAANCTATATCCTATATCCTATATCCTATATCCTATATCCTATATCCTATATCCTATATCCTATATCCTATATCCTATATCCTATATCCTATATCCTATATCCTATATCCTATATCCTATATCCTATATCCTATATCCTATATCCTATATCCTATATCCTATATCCTATATCCCATATCCTATACCCTATATCCCATATCCTGTATCCTGTATCTTATATTCCATAACTTATACCCTATAGCCCATATCAAATATCCTATATCCTACATCCTATATTATTATTATTTCCTGTATCCATCTATACTATACAAGTATTCTATATATCCATTCATCGTTTACTTTAATGTTCGATACTGCAATGAAGTGCTACCGATTTGATTTAGTTTCTTCTATTCGATAGTGATCAATAGACTATCTTTCGTCTTTTTCAGGGATCAAACTGAAACTGGAAGGACAAGAACACAACTCATGGACTGGTACTGAAAGTTACTACGACCACATCAATAAAAGGCAACAGACAAGGACGATTTATTTCAATGGGCAGAATACGTTTTTGCGCAACGACATTGTTCTGCATGGTGGAGGTAAGCGAAAGTAGAATTGGTAATATTTTTAAGTTTGAAGTTGGAGCAATTCTGTCACACGTTAAATTAGTCCAAAAAATGTTTTTATGCCTTTTTATTAAATTCGGCTAAATCTGGGGTACGTTACAATGAAAGTTTAAATACAAGTCTTTAAATATTACTAATTTTCATAAAATTGGTACGTGTTTTCACAAACATCCGATCTTGCTTAGTTTTGGTGTCAGTTACTGAGATTGTGACCGATTTTCATTGGACCAGCACGCCCCTAACAAATCCATTATTGCGGCGGTCTGTAATGTAAAATCCATGTTACTAAAATCATTGAAGAAAATATTTATGAAAATTTGACCTTCATAAAGAGGTAGTCTCATGGGTTTCAAGGGAGTTTTTCTTGTGCAAATTGGTTTATGCACATTTCTACTTATATTTGGTCAGAAGAAACTAGTTATTTTCAATTCAAAACTCGATTGGTGACTGATTTTTTTTCCTGTTCTTCTAGAATTTGCTATAGACAAAAGTATATTACACACGATGATAAGATATATTTATAGACTCGTAAAACTAATCTATCCGCTATTAAAATATTATTTAATTTTATTTAAACGAGTATAGGGCATATTTTTCAATTGATTTATATCACTTTCCAGAGAAAAAGTAGTAGGCCTTGAGATTAATCATCAGGATGATTTTTATTCAAATTGTTCCAAATATATAAACTGAGTCACATTAAATCTCTAATAAAAACTATTAGTAGATGTATATCTCTCATTTCTTAATTACTGAAACAAGTGATTAAAATGTGATTATTGCCAAGATGTGTCATTATTTATAAATAAGCCTAAGTAGAACACGAAAAAAGCCTTGGTATGGATGAGTCAGTAAACTGAATAAGATTAGTGGTTAATGAATTACAGTTAATGAGATCTTGATAAAAATGTTCTAAAAATTTAAATTTAGCATTGTTATTGATAACTTGTAAGATACAGAAGAGATACACTTATTTAGAGGTTATATCACAAATCCATTCTTAAAGGAAGCCCAAACGTTTTCCTTTTGATTTGGCAACATCCTGTTTATGGTTCTTTGTTTTCTTTGTCAGTTTTTCCACCTGTGAACTGTTTTATCAAAAAAACCCTGCCCCAAAAAAAATATAATTCAACTGAAAAATATTTATTATTACGTCTACAAAGATAATTTGTTTTGGCGTTATTTATTTGAAAACGGGTATTTAAACTGTAACTATAGAACTATATAGTATTAGTAGAAATTAAAGTACATAGATGTATAAATTGGAAGTCTTTTTGCTCGACACATAACTTGCATAATAATGACCTTGAGTTTGATAAATGCACTGGTGTAGAAGATGATGGATAATCTTGAACGCATTATAGTAGTTCCCCCCTTATATTTCTCGGAGGAGAGTATTCCTGCTGTTCCTTATGACACCAGGAGAAATAATCAAGGGGATTAATGTAGGGTGATCGTTGAAGTCCTGATTCAGGGCCTCCCTTGCTTAAAGTGATGTTCGTGAGCAGTATTTTCATTCAGATTTTACAAAAAATAATACGCAACTATTTGGATATTTTATTAATCCGCTCTCAAATAATAAATAGGAATAAATTTCCACGTTATTTTTTATTATGGAGACCTTCGCCAATAGCCTTACTGTAACCGTAAATTAATAAATTATATTATTAATAATAATATCAGAACTTATAATTGTATTTAAAATAAAATTAAGTAACAGAAAAAAACAAAGTGATATATTTACCTAATAATTAACAAAATTGTTCCTACTTTGTTTATGAAT